AAATAAAACATATTATTTACAATTTTTCAAATATTTAATATTTATTCATCCTTTTTCACCATCTGTTTATCATCAATTAAAATATATTTTAAAGACAACTAACCTTTTTGATTTAAGATACTTGCTTTTTACTTCCAGTTATTATGATTAATTGATTTAGCAATTACTTTATATTATATTAAATTAAAATAAAAACTTAAAAAAATTAAATTGAATATAATTTTTAAATTAAAATTATATTTAATATTAAAAAATAAAATAAAGATTAGCACAATAAAAAGAAAATAAATAAATAAATAAATAAAAAGCTACTAAACGAATTAAAAGAGTTATATTATTTTAAATTCAATTTTTTAATAAAAATATTACAACCCACAAATTAATTATTTTTACCTAAGGTAAAGTGTCAAATTTGAGAGATTAGTGCAATTTGCTAAAGCACAGCCTAAGCCTGATGCACCGATTGCACCAATTCCATTCCCACTTTTTAAATATTGAAGAAAAAAATATATAATTAATTACTTATTTAGAAAGGAAAAAATGAAGAAAAAGTATGAAACATATGTAGAATCAATTAATAAATAATAAAACAAATGTTGAAAATAGAAAAATGAGTTAAGTCAAGAAAGATAGAAATTTAAAAAAAATAAGTACAATAAAAAAGAAAAAGAAATATTAATTAAATAAAAGCCAATAAACAAATTAAAAACTTATATAGCTTTAAATTCATTTTTATGACTAAAATAATCACATAAAATAAAAATTTTCTTAAAATCTAAATTCTAACTTTTTAAATATTGAAGATCAAATATCTAATTAATTAATTATTTACAAAGAAAAATGGAAGAAAAAACACGAAATAATAAGAAACAAATTCATAAATAATAAATGAAAATGTTTAAAATAAAAAAATGAATTAAATTAAAATAGATAGATAGATAGATAGATAGATAGATAGATAGATAGATAGATAGATAGATAGATAGATAGATAGATAGAATAGACAAAATAATAACAAATACAAAAAAAATGAAAAATTAAATTAAATAAAAAACTATTAAACAAATTAAAAGATGTTTATTGTTTTCAATTCATTTTTTTAACTAAAAATATTTTTACGAAAGAAAAAGTGCCAAATTTGAGAGATTAGTGCAGTTTGCTAAACCAAAACCT